AAACATTTGGAGACTGGGCTGCCCTCAGCTCCCCCGCTAAAAGTTTAACTTTTAGTGGGTTGAATGGAGACTACCACTAAACACTAAAAAGGCTAAAAAGCTAAGGAACCGTATGGCTGGGAGCCAGCAAGGAGAGTATTGTTTGAGGACGAAGCTGCTGACACTTTGATGGGCCCGGTCGCAGAGGAGTTCTAGTTGCGTCTTGCAAGGCCATAGAAGGGCCTAAACAACTAGCATTGGGTTATGGGTGGAACCACATTGAGTCACGGTTTTGGTTAGAGGAACAAACTAGTAGTCACTATTTTGCCCCTTGTATGACCCAAAACCAGTGAAACAATAGAACGAGCTTGGCACTTTTGTCGCTTGCACTTCTTGAGAATGTCCCTCGGCTCTTTTTCGGGGGGAATACGAAATGGCCAGATCTTTTGGGGCGAAAAAATGCAGCCTCAAATTGCTCCCCCCCCCCCCCCAGCCCGCAGGTCGACATGTTAGGGAAACTTTCTCGACTCGACACCTAGTACAGAATCAGACGGGCTTCTCTTGCAACAGCACACAACAGGGGGTGGCTCGGTTCTTTTCAGGCGTGGAACGCTACTTTGTTGCTTGCTTCAAGAATAAAAACATTTCTGTGTTCCCAGATCCCCGGCCAACAGTTTAGCTTTGAGCGGGTCCTTGGAAAACTGGCACTAAACCAACCAAAAAAATGAAGAAAAGTCCGTCGGAGCCGGATGGCTGGGGGCCATGTTTTCGAAACCCCAACTGGTGTGCCTTCCTGAGGTCCCCTCTGACTGAAAAAGCCAATGCGGAGCTGGGCTCTACCCGTCGAATGAATGGCCACGGCCTTTGCAAACTGCACGTTTGGAGCCACTGCCGTTGAGGCCATAAAGCCATAGGGAAACGAGAGGGACATCAAACATGAATCTTGCCAGCTGGTTCAAAGGGCCTTTGCATGTACCAGGTGCTGTTTAGGTCTATCCCTCAACAAATCCTGTTGAATCAAACCCGCTAAGGCTTTCTGGGGTCAGACTTGGCCCGAAATCCTCATGCGGCTGGCAAGATATCGTACAATCGCTGCGGCGTTATCAGCCCTTTTCCCACTGTCTCAGGCGCCAAACAATTGCCCTCCAAATGTGGAACTGCGCCTTGCTTGTTCCCCTTCCAAAAAAAAGAGAAGGACTTTGAGTCCATGGCTGGTGCTCCGAAACCTCCCAAACTGGCTCATTTCCTCGCTGGCTTCTGGCCATCCCGAAGAAGGTTCGCTCATGCCATTTGAGTCATCCAACACCTACTGAAGGGGGCAGAAAAACAAAACCTGGAAACCAACCAAAAGGTCTAGGGACCGGCTCTGAACCTTCACTTTCTGGAAACAGTTTTCTTGCTGGTGCTCAGCAGGGAATGAGAGAATGACCAAAAAGAAAAACTGGTGGTTTCCTTTAAGAGAATCCCTGGGTTCATTCCCAACACCCTAGGTCATTCCCAACTAAGCACCAGCTGAGCTCATGTAATTGCATCAGTGTCCAGATCCCAACATGTACTTGCTTACTGAAACAAGCTCGGCGACCAAACAATCCCCGTAGTGTGGATGGAAAAAAATGCACCACCTAGGAATGATGATTCCCCTCTCTCTCTCTCTCTCTCTATATATATATATATATATCAACAAACAACCGTTTTCCATGGTTTCCGTGGTGCGAAATAGATTTCGTCCGCCCACAGTATTCTTTGAAAAAGGGGAAGTCAATGGTGCGTTCGTTCCCCCTGGCTCTCTGTCTGGTTCCCCGTTCGTTTACTCCAAACTGGTGAGCATCGATCCAGGTTGATCGCACAGAAGGACCCAAAGAAAGATACTGTGGATGGACGAAATCCATTTCGAAACACCTAAGAAACAATGGTTGACACCATTGGTTGGCATTTGAAAAAGCGAATCATAGTCCATTCCTGAACGGTGGTGCGAGACTCGCGGATGACTCGCAACCATCCATTTGGGGGCTCGCTCTTTGGAGTGCACGCCAAGGGGCGGAGGTTGTGCAAGCCCAGCTTCTCAGTCACCTGCCCGCAGGAGGGAATTTGGTGGCTGGGAAGGTAAAGATCCGCACCAGCTCCGGGCGCTAAGCTTTGCAAACCAGGAGGAAAAATGAAGAAGGGGGGGCCTTCCCGTGTCCCAAGGAATAATTCGTCGCGGAAATGGGGGAAGGATTCCTGGGACCCTCTTCGGTAGCTTTCCCCAGAATTCACGTCTTTGTCCAAAGGGCTTCAGACCAGGGGCTCTGTGGCTGGATAAAATCCATTTCGCACCACCTAAAGAACTCTGCAATGATGCTTCCCCTGCAAGTGCCAACCAGCAATGGTTTCGCATGGATTCAAATTGGTGCAGGATTCGTCCATCAACAGCACCACGCATTCTACGTACACCCCCTCATAGTCACTTCCTGGACATTGACCAATTCATTTGGCCCAAACCCCTTGATTTCCAGGAGAAAAAGGGTACACTTCTTTTGGCAGTTGACTTTAAAGGAAAACCCCTTCCATGGAAGTTAAAGGAAGAACCGATGGAGGTCTGGGATGGGTTCCCTGTCAAGTCCTTTCGGATGCCAAGAGTAGAACCTGCTCAACACCCAGATTAATAAGCCTCTGGTTGATTCATGGGGGGTGGCCGTTTCCAGGAAGCCACCTGTAAACTGGCAACTTTTAGGAGGGAAATCCTGTGAACGCTGTACAGTAACCTTCATTTCAGATCCGTTGAGCAGGTTCCACACACGCGTAAGCAGTGACCTTTTCAAGGTTTACCCTGGATTCATACCCCCGTTCTATTCATCGACAAGAGAGCGGGGGGTGGGGGCTGGCCCTCCAAAAAAGTGGCAATCCCCACCTTCGGAGAGGTTCCAAAAGGGTGAAATGGCCATGGGAAACGCATGCATAACCTACGATCCCAGTTTGGGGTGGATGTTCGTTCATCCATTTGATTTGCCACCTATTTTGATGTTCACCAGGGGTTTCGAGGGGTTTTGACCCACAGCCAAATGGCTCGGACACCCTGCAAGGTCTTGAGTGTGCGGCATCCCTGCATCCAGCGACACCGCCGCCTCAGCAGCGGTCATGGCGTTCGGCAGGTCCTCGCGGCGAGAAACACACGTACGCCGGTGCCCCCGAATTTTCTGAAGGGCGGTTCGGTTGAACCGAAAAGAGAAGGAAGAGAACGGCGGAAGGGTCTCACTGCTAGAGGAAAATGGTCTCAAATTGGGGAGCCCCCCTCATGAATGACGTCAAGGGAAAACCTCAAGGCAAACATGTGTTGCTGTCCCATATGGGTGTATCGCTGTTTGAGGGCACCACCGTTTCTGTGGTTTTAAAGGGAAACCAAAAGGAAACCGATGCCATTCTGGGCTTCTCCTAAAAGCAGACGCACCCAGAATATGTCGATGTGCATGCAGTGGGTGCGTGAACTACAAAATATGATTGGCATGGTGTCCAAAGGAAGCATCCATAGGCGGCACCTGGTTTTAACACATGTTCATTGGAGTTATCCCATGAAAGGGCGGGTCCCAAAGCAGCTCCTCAGAAGAAGACAGGGACCCCCTGTTGGGGGTTATGTTGAAGGGAAACCAAAAGGCAGCCAGGTGAGGAGTTCCCATTTTCACACAAACCCATATGAATGTCCCTCGTGCCAGATCCGGGCATGCCTGGCAAAGGTCTACCGAAACGTGTGGGAACTGAAACGGTAGGCAGGGAAAGCGAAATGGAAATAACTAACCCCGAAAAAAAGACTATCCAACTGGTGGTTTCCTTTAAGAAACTTCCTAGCCTCCGTGGGGTGTGGCGCCCGAGAAACGAACGGATCCTGCTTGTTGGCAAAGACCAGCAGCACAGCATCGCGCATCTCATCCTCCCAACACGTTGCAGGCAACGGTCTGTCTTGAAACGGGCGGCTCGTCTTTTGATTGAGGGTAGCCTGTTTGGGCTTTTAAGGGAAGCCGAAGGAAAACCACTTTCTTTGGAGGTCCCCTATTTAGAGACAAAGCCGAGTAGGGAATCCCTGCAAGAGGTTCGAACCCCCTAATCAGCAATCCAAACCTACTAAGGGTTACCTGATGTTGAATGGGTCAGAATGAAAACGAACATGGTCAACCATTTGGGGTGTGCCCCTTTTTGACGGTAGAACTCGGGAAATCGAGAACTTGTTGCATGGCCCTTCAAGTGAAACCAAAGTTGCGGTCAACCGTCTTGGGGGTCCCCAGTCCAAGACGTGCCTGAATACAAGCAGGGACGACTTAGGTCTAGAAAACGGTTTGGGCGTGCTTTTTGTGAATTTCACCTGTTCTTTCTATTGTTGGTCCTTTCCTAGTAATCTGTTTGTATTCTGTTAACATCCTACAGGGGCGGATCCACAAAAGTCACATCCAAACACCATCTTCTGGATTAGGTGTGAAGCATGGAATCCGCAACTGTTGCAAGAAGTCCAAACCCTGCAATAGGAATTGGATCCCCAAGTGAGTCTCTCAAAATGAACCCTCGATATGGTGCACCCACCTTTCGGTTGGTATTCAAAGGGAAACCAAAAGCAAACTCGCCATTTTTGGGGACCACTATGTCGAGAAACCCCCAAATAGAGGACCTACATCATGGTGAGCTCGTTTGACCCACTCCCCCCCCAGCTCGCCGTAGACCAGGCAAAAGGAATGTAGTCTTTCAATACGCCAACAACAAACAAAAACGCGATGGCAGAGGCGGCGACGACAACAACCACAACCACAACAGCAGCAGCAGCAACCAGAAGAAAAGGCCCACTCCGCCATCACCGACCGGGTTTCCCAGGCAAACACGTGACCATGTTGAGACACTCTTGTCACGCAATCTTCAGGCGGCCTGCCTCGTTGAGCATCTTGTTCAGCTCCTTCACACACGGAAAGCCAGGGCAAAAATCGAGAAGCCCTTTCTGTCTTGGAGCTCAAGGTTCACGTACAGCGGGGCACTTTAGCGGATTTGCCAACAAGAAACCTAAACTACTTGCCACTGGGTGTGTCTTTCTGAGCGAACCCCCAAAATGGTGGTTGTCTTATTGGTTTCCCTTCAACAACCACAAAAAGGAGGGTTCCCTCAAACAAATCACCCCTAAACCGATGTTCCCAGAAAGGTGCGAACTTGAGCACCAAGCTGCTGCTGCGCCGGTAAACAGAACCAAACTCTGGTCGCTTCCTTGACCAAAAAAAGGAATGTCTAAAGGAAGACCACGATTTTCGAGGGGGGGATCCCCCCTTTTTGCCCCACCAAGCAATGTGATGTCGATCCTCTGAGTACCGCAAGGGAACAAGGAGAACCCCATGGTTCGCCGGCTTAGGCTCGGTCAACTTGATTTTTTTCGGGTGTCCTTTTCGGGGGGGGAGGGCTCCGGGCGGCTCCTCGCGAGCGTCTTCGACGCGGTCACGGTCGTTGCTGTCCACCACGTAGATCAGGCCGTTGGTGCCTCGAGTGAGGGACGACAGGACTCCAAGGACCGAGGACCAGACCTAAACCTTTTCCATGGCACCCATGGCTTAATTGTTTTATCTTTATGATTATTCGATTCGTTGATGTTTTGTGCAATATTGATTGTTTTGTGTTGTTTCGATGAGGCGGTGGTATTGGGTAACGGGACTGCTCCAGCCGTCCCGTGGAAACCTCAAAACCGTGCGACTGTGCTGTTTTGATGTTTTCATTAGGTTTGATCTCTTAGGTTGATGTAATTATTCAGGATTGCCATCGAACAATCCATTTAGGTCCCATTTATTCGAATACATCAACAGCATCTGTATGTTTATTTGATTCGTTGATTTACTTATTCACTTTTGTATTTGCGCAGTTAGTTTGAGATACTATGTATTTACATATATGCGATGCATCTATAAATGTGTGTACAGAAATTTTCAGGAGTCCGTTCTGTGGCTGGCATGTATAGATTCGAGTGTTGCTTTCCCGCTTTGCGGAAGAAGACAAGTCTCACGTCGAGCCAAGGCGACTTGCGGATGTCGGATTTCCGTGCGCGGCTGGGATCGCAAGTCTTCAGAAGTCATAGGTAGGGAATGACCGAGACAGGGTGTTGGTGGAATGAACCGGAAGGGGTTTCCCGAATAAAGGAAACAATCGGGGATGGTTTATAGCGGTCATTCCCTCATTCCCTGCTGAGAACCAGCAAGTTAAACAGCCATTGCTTTACCAGACTGCTTTAGGTTCCCCATTTAAAGGGGTGGGGTCAGGTTGGTTAATCCAGGTTTGCGACCAACCCGGGTACGAAAAAAAGCCATCCCCGAATCCCCTTCCGGTTCATTCCCCACACCCGGACTCGGTCATTCCCTATCGCACCAGCAAGACAAGCTGAACAACAAGTTCCGTGTTCAGCCGCTCCCACGGTGCGCAAGTAGCATGGAGATGTGGCTGAGAACCGCCGAGCACCTTCTGAGTGAATTGGCCCACGAATGTAACTCGTTTCTCGGAAAGTGCTGATCAGAATATGATTTTACTGTGCAGGACAGACAGTTGGTGGTCTATCTTGACAATAACGCTGCACGAGGAGCCCTGATCAGGGGAACTTCAGATAGTGCATCTGTATTTGGTCCCACGCTGTTTAGAAACGGAAGCTGGACACATGAAGCCAACCTGGTTTGGCCGTGTCCCCACGCATTCCAATATCAGCGATGGACCAAGTCGTTTGGACTTCAGTGATCCTATCCTCGCTCATTGCCCGAGGGCAAAACTCGACTGGTCGCTTTTCCCACCTCCTTGAACGCTCTCTGACGTGCTTTGAGGCACTTGTTTGGCAGGGATGTCGGGTGCCCACGGACTGAACAGATTCCCTGTGCCCGGATTGTGGCAGTTCATTCGGCTACATGTCGAAAAACTCGAATCTCCCCATCAGCATTTAGAAAAAGGAAAGAGAGCGTCGAGAGAGTGTGGCGGCATTGGAGTTTCCTGATTGGTGCAGCATTATTTCCTTTTGGTTTGATGGCGTCTTGTGCATGTTTGTCTGCACTCGTGGCCCCAGATGCTCTTGCTTTGCCATTTTTATTGGCTTGTTTGTTTGCCTTGTTTACGGCTCTTTCTTTCAACGGCCTTTTTATGGCAGTTTCATTGCCTTCGACATACGCCTGCCTCTTCCCTTCAATGTTGGCAATTGCCGGTTCTTTCTTTTCGATTTGAAAGGGCATCTTCTAACAAGATGTCTCTACGACACTGGTTACTTCTGTTCTCAGTTCTTGCGCTGATACGCAGTTGCGACAAACAAATAAGTTCCATTGAATTCGTCCATGCACACTGCATACAGGAGTGTACTAGGACAGATAAACTGGCTTCAATCGAGAACCCAATTTCATCTTGGTTACCCGTTTTCCCGATGTGTATCAAAGGCAGCATCACCGACTGTTGGCGATGTCAGTTCTGTACAGGTCACAACTCTTCCATTTGCCAAAGTGGAGACTGCAAGATACTCCCCGGTAAAGTAACATGAAACCCAACAGGTCAAAGAGCTTCCTCGAGTTGGTCTGTCATCACCAGCTTGGGCTTCCATCTACGACCATCCCATGCAAATTAACCGGATTTGCGGTCTGTTTTTATTGTACCTTCTCTGGTTCTAAAGGAAACCAAAAGGAAAGCTTCCCCTGTTTCGAAGCTTCCCCTCTGACACAAACCCCAAATTTGGGCGGCGGGGGGCAACACAAGGGGGGGCACACGGATCGAATCGAATCGATTCATTCGGAGTCCCATGGCCTTGGTAGTAGTGGCGCCACAGGGGGCGGATCTTGTCCTGGCCTCCGACGTCCCAGACCTCGTGACGTTCGCAGGGATTTGTTTGAATTGTTTTGGGGAAGGAACGCATGTGGTGTGACTTGCTTTGATTTGGTACCCTTTGTTTGTTTGGTACCCTTTATTTCAGTGGCCTTGAATAGTTTGACTCTTTTGAATAGTAGTGGTGACTTCTTTTTTGAGTTGGTACCCTTTGTTTTGAGTTGGTTTTGTAGGCAAACCAAGCAAAAAACACGTTTTTGGTTTGGCGGGGGGTCCCAGGAAAAGGGGACACACCCATTAGGATCCACTTAGAGGAAACCACCAGTTGGATGGTGTGGGTGCTGAGAACCAGCAAGAAATAGGTTACCCGGCAAAGTCAGAATGTGCTGTACAGGGAATCATGATGCTTTCTGTAAGCTGTCAAACGTGCGAATGAAAGTGGGACTTTGTGGTCTTTCTCAGAAAGGAATGGGACTTTGTATTTTTCTCAGGGTCCTTTGTTTGAAAGGAAGGGCAGGTCCTCTTTCTTGGCATGGTTCCAAGTCAAACTGAGGGGAATCCAGCCCAAACATGCATTTTGCGATACGAGACGGCGAGTTGTTTTAGCAAAGCTAAAAGTCACTGAGCCAAAAGCAGGTTTATGTCCACCAGCCATTTGGGTTTGTCGTTTTTTGAGTTGGCACCCCTTTTTGTCGCTTTGAAAGGGAAACCAAAAGGAAAACAACCACCGTTGTGTTTTTTTTGGGGGGGGGGAGGGTCATAGAAAAATCCACCCAAAAGGCAAACCCTGAGCCTTGACAGGTCATGCAACAAAACCGGCTGCACTGACCCTTCGACAAGCCCGTCGAGTTCCCTCGGTTCCAAGATGTGTTTTGGCTTTTTTCGATGCAGAAAGGTGCAGGCGCCTGTCTCAGCTGCCCAACCCTTCCACTCCAAGGCACCTAGGGCCATCCCCGATGCACATTGGCCATGGGGCAAAACACGATCAAGGGATACCCACCGTAGTCTTCAAAACGTTGGGGTCCTTTTCAGGCGGAGACCCCGACCCGCCCAGGGGTCAGTGTCTGCAAGGAACTGATCCAAATCAAAGCCAAGCAAGCGCTGGGGCCCGTGACAACATGGAAATCGGCCAATGCCAAGTGGCGGTGAAGCTCAGGTTCTTGTACCTCGCATCCGTCTCTCAGTCCCGAAAAACCAGCCGCCAGGTGTTTCTATGCCATGGTTTGGGCGACCCGTAGACGGGTTCGAGCAACGTGGATGCTCCGAAATCGGAAGCGGTTCCGGATAGTGCCATAGATCGGTGTCCATTTATCAGAACCCGCATTCACGGGTTTCGTGAATAGTCGGGCTGCATCAAAATATGGTCAGACATGATAAATTATTCCTAGGGTGTTCCGTTGCTTGAGCTTTCTCCGAAGCATACCTTACAATTCGGTGTGTCGCAGGGGCAACCCCCCCCCGAAAGCATACCCAAGCGGCTCCAAGGGGAACCTCTTTCAGTCTTCAGTGGCTTCTTGCTTCTCAGCGGAATAGTTCAGCCTAGTTGGGATCACAATTAAATCCCATGCGGTTGCAAGAAAGGCTTAAAGAATTGAACTCAAGGAAAGTCGACCTGAGTTTGTGTTCAGACAACTGTGGCTCGATCGCTCTCAAATCATATCAAAGGAAACCAAACCAATTATATACATGTACATATAAGCATATATATATATATATCATTTATATATATATATATATATATTATAGTACTCATTGACGCTTCTACTGCAGAGTATCCACGCAGCTCAAAGCTTTTGGCCTAGAAATTAGCATCTCCGGCCCGAATAAAGGGTCCAAAGTTCTCCATGGAAAGAAAACGACAGCACAACAAGGGGTGGGAATCGGCCAATTCGCTTCCTGCCATGTCATTGGCTCGTTTCACAGGGACGCAGCACAGCTTGCGGCCGTGGCGCTCGACCGTCTCCACCTTGCGACGCGTAAAAGCTCGGCTTTCAGCCACAATTCAAACATGAAAGGGTTTACACACAACCGTGAAAATAACTTCAAAGAGCCACTTATGGCTGGCACTGTCCCCCCACTAACCTTCAAGTACCCTGGCTCAGGTAACTTCCCTGCTTCCTTTGCACCCTTCATGGCTATAGATTTCCTTGGACTTCCTTCCTCAGCTTCGTGTTCGGCTATCAACATTCCTTTGCGCGTCTCAATGCTTCTTAAGAGGAATGCTTAGTCTCAACACCAACCCAAGGTCTACAGAGCCACGTGGCTTGAAATAGGGATCTCCCAAAGGTGTCCCTTGCGCTTTGCAAATCGCTTGGCGTCGGGGGACCCGCGTCGACCAAAGAAACGAACTCGGCAACTTGGGTCCCAACGTTGAAGCCGATGGTGGGGATGGTCGTGACCACCTGGGAAAGCGAAGCTCTTCGCCGGGAGGGAACCCTTGCCGCGGGCGACATTTGTGTGTCCTTTCTCTACGTGACACCCAGAAATGGTGAAAAAGGGGGTACATTGGGGCTCCATGACTGCTGCCCCCAAGTTAAAGGGTGGTGGAAATCATGGCACATGAGCACATGGTTGAGGAAAATACATGTGATACCAAACTGGACCTGCCGAACCCACAGTTGACCACTCAGGGTTCGGTTCTTTTTGACGTATCACTGAAAGTGGCACAGTGATAAAGCCTATTTCAAGGACAACCAGTCGGGACGCAGACAAACAAATTGCAAGATGGCTGCGACGTCCAGAAATCGCACCCAAGAAACCCCAAGGAGCCCAAGGATTCGCTGGCAACCAACGTGGCAACAAACGTTCCATGGCGACTCATTCCCATGGCGACTCATTTCGTGGTGCGAGACTCTCGGAGGACTCGCGGAGTTCGCCATCCACATATTCAATCCAAATAAAATTCAACAAATAGCTTGTTTGCTTCTTTATACGCAAATCACGTGGATAATCAAGAAAGTTAGACATCTAATGTTTGGGTTGATAGCTCTAAAAGTGTAAAACCCAAGCTTCATTAAAACCAAAGACTTCCAAAATCTTCATATTATTTTTACTTCACTAAAATTTATAAAACATCTGAAGGTGTTCATGAACATCAAAATTTCCAAAATGTCTACATTAAAATTTCCAAAACATCTGAAAAGGTGGTCATGAACATCGTAATCCACTTTTCAAGGACCTCCGGCCTCTCCGAGCTTCAGCTTGTAGAGGATGGTGGTCTTACCCGCCGCCTGACACGGAGCCGCGGCTGGTCTGAACTGATCCGCGGGGCAAAAGTTGGGGAACCCCAAGACGGCCCATCGGAAAGGGAAGCATGGACTGAAATATGTGGTACCCTGGCTTCATTTTGACCCAGACCCATCTGTGCTTTCCCCACTTGGAGTTGGTGCCCCTTCTTGGGAGAGTTTGTTGAGGCTAAGCTTGGCTTCTGTTCTACTTCCCATTGTAAGAACCATCCATCCAAAGGGGGAGGAAGCAAGTCTTTACACATCCTTGACCACAGAGTCCCAAGCAAGAAAGTATCAGCAGGGTGGTTCGCCTTCTGAGTTGGTACCTCCCGCACTTTTTGGGTGGTTCCAAAGGGGACCAAAAGGAAAACCCACCCATGTTGGGGTATCTGATTCCTGAAGTAAGACTCGGCAAAAGCCATGGGCGCCAAATCCAGAGGTCGTCACACCCCCACGAGGAAGCAAAAGTCAGTTGGGGCATGAATGATTTCTAGGTCCACTAAAGTGACCTGAAAACTGCCTTCTATCAAAGGGCAACCACCCCAAAAGCACGCGCAAAATGTAACCACTGTACCTCACTTCGTGCATTACCTGGAAAAAGGTCAAACTTGTTTTTACCACCAAAATGGTCCAAACCCAAACAGTTGTCTAAAGTCCAAGAACGCAGTGAGTGAGAGTCTTCCTTGCCTCTAGCTTAGCTTCCCCTGGAAACAGTTCACCTGGGCGATCGGAGTCAGCCAAAGGGCTCCCGGCTCTTGAAGCCAAGCGGCGTCCAAGCCCACCATGAGGATTCGCATCTCCTGCTTGCCAATCCTTCGCGCGGAAGGAGCTGTTTGCAAGAAAAAGAAAATTGGCGGGTTGCAAGGAATGTTGCAGCCATTCGGAAGACCAAGTCATGTACTGATCTTCGGGCGCCTGAAGAACTTTGACGGATAGCATCAGCTGAGTTGGACACTCAAAAAGGAGGAAACCACACGAAAAGGAGCCACAATCCAGGGTCTCCAGTCTTCCGGGGTGACGGGTGTCCACACCGTAGGTTATGAGTCAAACTCCTCATCTCCAGACTCAAAGAGGGCATGCTCGTACCTTTTTCTGGCTTTGGTTTTGAATTCTGAAGGAAACCCCACACACCCTGGCGGAGCCATTGATTTGAACACTTGTGAGACTCGGTTCCACCGCTTTTGACACAATGTGGGAAGATGATGGGATACGTTAAACAATTGGGAATCTGTGTTAAGATTGCCATGGAAACCCCGAAGCACTAGGGACCGACTTGATTTTCACGATGCAAGTTGTCTCAAGAATCGGAGCGGTATCCAACCTTTTGAGACCTTTCTGCTACCGTTATGACCTCGAAATGCCAGCAGTTACTGGAAACTTGTGAAAAGATAAAACAACCGAAGAAAAACAAAACAAAAACCCAGTAGAAAAAACATGACTGAACCGGCAATTCCCCCCAAAAAAAACAAAAAGAAACAACGACAAAAACAGCCACACATTGTAAACAGGAGGCCAGCTTTTTTCACTAGGGACCCAGGGACCACCCAGCCCGACTTCATGATGGTATGTGTGAACCTGACCCCTGTCAGCGATGCATTTTTTTCTACCTCAATTGCCTTGGTTGGAGTTTGCCATGGGCTACCATTGGCTTTTCAAAATGCGCCCGTGTTTGCCTGTTGAGTTGAAGGGTCAACCCAACCAAGATCAAACAACATCCCAGAACTGTAGTACAGGTTGAGAAGCAATGAGGGGAACAAGCATTCACGGCGCCAGCGACGTGTGGGCCAAAACTTCAGGCATCCCAGGCACAAAAAGCCAAATGTAGCAGCTACCGATTCCCAGTTGGCCCATTTATCCGTTCTTTCAAAGGGGTCAGTTCTGATGTCGGCGCCAGCTTTGATCCCTGGAGGGTAACTAAACGAGTACTGGAAAAGTAGGGGCAACCTCCCAAATCGACCGGATTCTGCCTATGACATTCTGCAACAACATGAAACAAACAGGCCATCAACAAAACCGGGAAACAACAGCCCAACAGCACAGAACACCAGGCAGGAATCAAAGGAAACGGCAGGTACGCGATTGTTCCCCAGAGAAAACAAAAACGCAACACACACACACACACACACACACTAACCCCGGCGGGGTTGGAAAAAGAGAAAAAGAAAAAAACACCCCGACCGACCCTGCGGAGGTTTTTGGTCGCTTGCGGCTGAAGGGTCAGGCGCTGCCATATCTTGGTGAAGGCGAGACCCATGGCTCTCCGATCTCTCCAAGTTCGAAGAGTTGGCTGCGGGCCGCTCGGCGTCACGTACGGCCCCAAGGAAACCCCTCCCAAGAACCCCCCCCCTCCCTCCAAATGCCATGAAAGTGTGGGGGAGGGGGCGGAGGATGTATTCAATTCTTAAAATGTCCCCAGGTGCTAAAATGTATGTCATCCCCCCCCGCCTAGAAAACCGACAGCAAGCCCCAAGCCCCAAGCCCCCCCCCGGAAGAAACTCCAACAAACCCCAGACCAACAGAGACTAAACCACAAACATGGCAATTCGTGTTGAGCCCACGAGACCTCTCCAGGTTGTTTCCCCTCGGCCAAGCAACCGTGGGGCACCCACCAAATCCCAAGGACGGTGACCCACGGCAACCCCAGAGTTCCCACCTTACAAGTCGGGTAAGGCTTCCAGACGATCAACGACCAACCAAAACGATCGAACCAACCATGCCAACCCAAAAAAAAACATCGAGGGCCGAAAAAACATAACGTGCTCCCACCAAAGAAACACGATCTAGTACGCTAAAATGCATATGTACCAACCAAACAACTCTCTATACTCTAGGTAAAGATATGTGACCAAAAAGCTCAGAGTCCCCCTCCACACCTCCACATGGGAGTTCATGAGGCTTCAACGGAACCAACACCTCAGATCCCAGTCGGGGAAACTTGGGCTCCAGGAAACCTGGGGCTTGCGGCCCGGGATTTGCCCGACACTTCAGGCGTTGCCCTGGAAGGATCCACAACTACCGGCCAGGGTCACCAAGTGGTAGCCCGGTTCCATGTGGTGGCAGGGTGCTCCTTGCGAGGGTACCACCCTTTACGATCCAAGAGGGGGGTCCCCAGAACAACATAAGGGGGTTGATCAAAAGGTCCTGCGCAGCATGGGATGACAAATGGGGGGCCAAACAGAATACTGATCAACCCCCATGTGAGTCTTGTAGTGTTCAAATCAAGCCGCAAGAGCCACCGACGGCCACTTTTGATATTTTTACGAACCGGCTGGAAGCCAAGAGCTGCGTCACCCCGCAGCTCGGCGCGGCAAGCGCACCGCACTTTTCCCCCCCGCAAGACGGGGGCCCCTCGAAGGTGTCTCTGTTGCCGTAGACTTCTCCAGCCAAAACCCAAAACCGCGACGCAACGCGAACGGACCCAGCAACAAGCTGATCCAACCGCCGGGGTCCTGCCAGATCCGGAAATTGACTTGCCCGTTTCCGGCAGAAAATACAAATGAAAAAGGAGCGATGGAATCCATGCCAACTCGTAACGGAGAGGGTCCCGACTCTAATGCTTCATAACCACTTCGAGCTGATGCCTTTGTAAAAAGCTAAGATGGCTTCCAGTCACCCAACCACGGGACTCATTAGAGGTGAAAAGGGGAACCACCCATAATGGCGGTCCGGACCTAGCGCGTTTAACACTACCCCAAAGATTGAACGGGGTATCTAACCACAATACAGCCACCTTGTTTTAAGGGTATGTATATATATGTATATATAAATAGCATTTTCCTCCAGGGATTGCCGTAGTTTGGCCCAAGGTACGAAGTTCAGTCAGTCGATTCCGTGGAAGTCAGTCAGGTACTTCTTCGGACCCGGGAGTGGGGGGGGGGGGCAACACAATCGGGCGGTAGTTTTTGCTGACGGCATCCCTTCCTTTTTGAAAGGATGTAGTTCTTCGGGGGAAGCTCAACAACTTTTACAGGTCCGAGATACATCCAAGAATTGCCTGATTCATCCGAACATCTCATGTCCAAAATGTCTCATGTTAGCTGTGATTCACTTGCTGCCGGGCTCTATGGACCAAGCGAGGCCGTGCTGTTACGCGCTGCCCGCCGGGTGTTTTTTTCCTTCCGCGCTGAGGCACAGAGCTCCCGGAGCCCACAGACAGATGGGGCCGCTGTCTTAAACTTGAGGCGACGAATTTGGGGAAGCATGGATGCTCAGGGCTCCTCTAGGAGACATCGAAATGAGCACACGTCAAAACATGCGATTGCCCTAAAGGACATAGAAAAGATCGGGGAGCCCCTGGAGTTGGTGTTTGATCAGAACTCGTCCTGCACATGGACCATAGACTGCGCTACATGTTGACCCAACCTCAAATCCACGCAATTCCAAGTTGGCCCTGAATATCTGCTGGAGCTCGGTGACTCATTAAGCCCTCGCTCAAGTGAGCGCAACCGAGCGCGTCCTTGGCAGGAACTGACCTACACGCCTTAAGGGAAGCCTCCGGCGACCAAATTGGCGACCCCGCTGCTCGAAAAAACTAGCTGCTGCTTGTGGAGAAAAAGCGATGATGGAACATGGCAATGGAAACAGCCGAGTAACTGACCAAATTAAGGTGGACCGTGTCCGTCAGCCTGATGTTTTTGCATCCTTCTGCAATACGCAAACCCGAAACGGGCGTGTCATTTTTTTAGGGGACCCAAAGCACGAAAAAGGGGGTACCAACACCAAAACAAATGACACCCCCAAATGCGTAAAACATACGTGGTGTCCCGTTGGTGTCCTTCCAAACAAACGATTCGAAAAAAAGAGCCACTCCCACCCTTTGCAAGGCTTTTTCTATGTGCCCAAGTCCCATCCCAGATCCCTTTGCTTGCGGCTTAGGCCATCCGCTGTTCCAAGAACTCAGCTCCGAAATTCATTCCTTCCAAGGAAACCAGATCGACCGACCGTGCGATTTGGGCCACAAGACGCCACAGTGAAATGGGAGCCTGTTGCGTATGCTCTGAACGACCCCCTTGGCGTATGAAGAGTTCCCTGCTTCACTCCCTACAGTCAAAAAGCCCGGGGATTCAAGCAGACGACCAACTAGAAGCCAAACGGAAAACCAAATCTGGAAACCAAAAGACGAAAGCATGGCTTTGGCTCAACGGCTTGGCAACCAAGTGGTAAAAACTCAGAGACGTCAACCCGCCCTGATCGAACACAAGGGCTGCATTTGCAGGTTGCCCCAAAGAAGATCTTAACGCAGGGGGCCGACGCAACGAACAACTCGCGCCCGATCAAGCGGATTGGGAGAAAGTCCGAAATTGTCGCAGCGCGCCACCAAAATCTCCTTCCCAAAAAGGTAGCAAGGCCTGGAAGCTCAGGGCGTGAGAAACATAGCGACGGTCGCGGAAAAACCAAATCCGAGTCTCGCACCGCCGTTTTTGCACCCCAAGGGAATGAGTCGATTCCCCAACACAAAAAATACCAACAAACAATGGCTTCAAACATGGTTCCAAAGTGGTCCGAGAAGCGGAGTTCGCAACCACCCACAGTTCTCGACCATCTCAGGCGCCCGGCTACGACCGCAAAGACCTGCAAGCCACAAGAGGCGTCCCGTCCTGCTCCTGCGTGGATGCGCTCAGCAGAAACGCAGCAACCACTGAGAAGCCACCAACACATCCATAAAAACTGTCCCGGGCACGAACAGAAACTACCCCAACACGGCCAGAAAGGGGACAATACGCCTTGAGCTTCAGCTCCGCACAAATGGTTCAAAGCAAACACTGTTAATCAAATTTCGAGAGGCGCAACTCATTTCTGGAGGGAATCAGGTTGGTCTGACCCAAATCTCATGACAAAGACAATCCAAGACCCCAGGTGTCAGATAGAGAGAAACTCGGTTTGCCAAAGCCCAATTTGACCACAGATAAGACAGGAAATGTGTTCTAAACCTCATAAGAGGATTGGACATCCGGATTCCAAACAGAAGCCCCACAATGTCCACTCTGCATTGCTTGCCTGGTGTGAACCTCGGAGGAATTCCAAAATTGGCATCCCCAACAGCCCCAACCCTGCTTTTGAACCCTCCCTGAAAGCTGCCCCGAACTAGCCCTTATCTCCTATCCGGGCCTATTGACCCCCCCAAAACGCTTTCAGCTGGCAAGACCTCCCCTGACACCCGCTTTTTATAAGTTGGCCCGAAAGGGTGAGCTTTAAATTCAGCACACATCTCCTGGCGTCTTTGCTGCGAGCAAAAACGCTGATACTGTGGATGGAGAAAATCCACTTCACACCAGTTGGTAGGTGGTTGATCCCATTATTTCTAGCGTCTCATCTATCCCGAGTAGTGCAGGATTTTGTTCACCCACAGTATGTTGGATTGGTTTTTAATACTTGTTGAAACGTCAAAAGAGGTCCCAGCATCTGTGCCAAAGAGGTCCACGCATCTGTGCACCAATCCAGGAATCCATGCTGGGCGGGCTTCCTATTCGGCTATCGGTGGTCAGTTTATCAAGAAACCAGCAGGTCATACCAAGGCTTCATTGTCAGAAATGGGCTTCGAAATGGTTCGTCAACCACAAACGGCAACACCAAAACAAAGCAAAACAAACAAACAAACAAAGAAACCAAGGAACAACGAGGAAGCGGACAAAAAAGGCCGGACAAAAGGATGGCAAGAACAATGGGACAAACCAAAACACCGAACAAGCGCAGGTCTCCCGAACAGCCCCGGAGCCTTCCGGAACCCTCCCGGTTGGAATCTCCGGATCACTTCAGACATCGTGGGCAAAGACCCAAACCGTTTGGAGCAAAAAAGGCTACCTTCTTTCTCCCAAACCAACCAACCAACCAACCAACCAACCAACCAACCAACCAACCAACCAACCAACCAACCAACCAACCTACCTACCTACCTACCTACCTACCTACCCACCTACCCACCTACCCACCTACCCACCTACCCACCTGCCCTACCCACCTACCACCACCCTACCACCCTACCAACCAACCAACCAACCAACCAACCAACCAACCTACCTACCTCCCTCCCTTCCTCCCTCCCTCCCTACCAAGCAAACCCAAACCGCCCGCTTTGAACCGCTGATGGCCGGTTCGGATCGATCGATCCCCGCCTTCGTCGTTTTCTCGGCTCAGCGCTTGCTGGACAGCGTGCGAGAGAGCCAGTCCAAGCCCTGGCTTGAAGCTTTTGGGCCATTCGCTTCGGAGGTTGGCTGAAGGGTTTGTTTATGGTTTTGGGTGGGTTTAGGGTGGGTCTAGGGCGGCGTTTATGGTTTAGGGTGGGTTTAGGGTAGGTTTAAAGGAGTGATTGCAATGCATAGGTAGAAAAGTCCTTGGAAACTACTAAAAGGGCATTCCTCTGAAAATTGTGGGTTTTGGGGTTCCATGTGACAGTTCTTTCATCGTTCCCCAAAAAAAGCAACACAAGTTATATACACGAAAATCAGTGAGGTGTTCGGCCGAAGGTCATTCAAAAACTAACACATATGTTTATTTAAACCCCGAAAAAGCAACATCTAAGCTGCGTTTGTTTGGTTTTTTCAGGCCGTGGCTTCCCGCTGAAGCCCCAGGAAAGAAGTCAGCCTCGTAGAGGCCGTCGCCGGTGGTGGCGCAGGCCGACTGGATGAACCACTGGCGGTGGCCTGAGACTCGTCCGGTGCCCCGAAAGAGGCTGGGGCTGGGTTGGCCAAGGAAGGGAAACCTCGAGATGGATTGAAGGGAAACCGGTAAAAAGCCCTCCAGCTAGGGATGCTGTAACAACAACATATTTTTCAACCCTTGTTTTTGATTGGGGGGATTGCTCCCCCAATCACTGGGCCGGGGTCATGACAAAACCGAGGGAAAAGTGAAACCCATGGGGGTCCAAATCCCAACTTCGAGAATCGGCCCGGCAAAATGGCGCCGGCTTTCTTTTGCGGGTCCTAATGAACCCAACAAAGAATGGCTTTCATGTCTAGATACCCCCAAACAAAAGGTCCATAAAAGGCATCTGTTTGGTCTTGCTCTCAACCTGGTGGTTCGCCTGACAATTGAATTTGGGGGCTTCTGAGCATCTAGCCATGCCCCAGACTAAAAGAGTGATCTCCCTTTGGTTTCCCCCTTCACAACACCACGCAGGGTACCTTCAAGAGGCACACCAACATGGGGGACACCTTTGGACCCCACGGATCCGAACATTCGGATGACTCCCGGAGCCAAAAATGGCCAACGTGCCCAAAGAACCAACGCTCACCTTGCGAAACCAAAGAAAGCCAAACTCCCCTGCGACAGTGGCATCATCTTCTTGCTGACAAGTAGGCAAGGGAAAAATGGAATAAACCCGGGGATTCCCTAATTAAAAAAAAAAAGATGGCTTATAGGGGTCATTCCCTCATTCCCTGCTCAGCAGAAAGTCTTTCAGATTTCAGACTCTTGGCGCAGCTCTGGCCTTGTCGGGAGGAAGACATCTCAGACAGCGGGGCTACCGCCAGTCCGAATCATTTGGTTCGAAGCATAGGCTTCAGACCAAGCAATGCTACCTGACTCTGGTTGAAATTACGTGCAAATAAGACAAGGGCCTAAGTTTTGGAGGGTGCTTTGAAACCAAATTCAGCCACGAGAAGACGAGAAAACTGCTCGTAACTGTGGTGCCCCCTATCTTATCGGTCTCAGCAGTCCCTCTCCGCTTGTTCAAAATGCTTCTATCCACGTTCTAACCCAGCGTTCGCGGCGTTCAAACCCGTATCAGTTGGTCCACTTTGGAAAACAAAAAAAGAAACAAGAGCACCAGGGGAGATCCCCACCAGAAAACCGGGGGAAAAAAAAAAGAAAAAGAAAAAGAAAAAAACGCACACACACACACACACACAAACACACAAGAAAAAGGGCACCAACGGAAGTCTGACGTTTCTCCCTCTTCCCCCCCCCCCCCAACGAAAGGCACCCAGCAGTTGACTTTGCATGGCGCCGGTGGGGATGTTTGGGCCATCCCTGGCCCCCCGAGAACCAACAAGTACAACGACCCACGTCCGCAACCCTGTCCTAGGCGCACGGGCCAAAGCGGGTTGAGGTGATTGCCGCAAACGGCAACTCGAGGACCCGACACCCGTGACTTATTGCTCCGCCAAGACGCCAAGATGGTTGCAGAGGTTTTGTTTTAGGCCTTCCTACACCCACCACAATGACCAATGAAAGTCTTGGGCACTTCTCACTCCGTCAAGAACTCCTTGCATCCGTCCGCGTGGTTAAGAACCTCCCTTTTAAGATTTAAGATGCCCTTTGGGCTTCCTTGAAGCCAAACCCAGGTCCAACCGACCCTACCCCAGGTTCCTTCGATCGATCGGTGATAGGTCCCCGGGCGCAGGTTGTGCAGACCCAGCTTCTCGGTGACCTGCGATTTGGCTTAGAAGGGAATCTTATGCATTGCTTGTGTCATCTCTCTCTCTCTCTCTCTTTCGCACTTTAGAAGCTTGACTTCGGGTTAACCCCGATGGTCTCATGGACATGCAAGTGAGACTGACTAGGGAGGGGGGAAACTCACTGGGGAGGGGGGCCTTCATAAGGTCTCGATAAATCCATATCCTAGGCTTATCCTTGGTCTATCCACGGTCCATGGTCAGAATGCTCTCTGTAGACCCTTTACAATCCTCATCAAACCATGTAGAACCCCCGACCAAGCATGCTTACACGTCGCCCCATGGAAGACCGATCAAGTTGGCTGAACCTGTCGTTGGTAATTGGCAGCAAATGCTTGCCCCACGCGAGAAACACTTTGTGAGCACAGGCGTCCTTTTGGACAAATAGATGGGTTTCTCTGGCAAATGGATTATAAAACCCAACTGAACCAGTGGAGCCCGTCAATTTCTATTGATCAAAAGGACACCTATGGAACCAAATATACACCTTAAATGGATGTTAACCTCGTGGGCTTATTGACACCTCTTTGGCCTCAAAACGCCAGCAACACTTTGCAAGTTTCAACCAGCCCCGAATGCGCAACTCGCCTCTGCCGCGGTCATGGCGTTGGGCAAGTCCTAGCCCATGCAGCGTGCTCACGACTCCAAGGCAGGAGTCACTAGATTTGCAACCGAATCGAAAGTTGACCAATCTCCTGGTGGCTTCCATTGAAACCATCACCACTTCTGGAGGTTCCAAAACAGTAGTGTGAAACTGGTATATGCAATCTCCCAACGTTCCTCGAGTGAAAGACCGGCTGTCGAGGGTTTGTTCAGGTGTTTCGCAAACTCGGCCACGCCTCAAAATAGTTCATATCTTTGGATTTGCATTCAACACCACCTGGCTGCCTCCCTGACTGCCCACCACTGACTGCCTCCCTTCATGTGGCGTATAACTCGGCAGAACCCAGTTACCCAGTGACCCTGCTACCAAACGAAAGGTCCCATGGCCCCCATTAGGCCTCATAAGTTGCTACTAGCCCCTATTGCAATTGGGCTGCCATTGACAACCACAGGAAAAAGGGGAGAAAGGGCCATTGAAGCCACTGATCAACTGGGAGAAGGGACTCATTTCACCTCATTTCGGGAGTCTTCGGACTCCCCCCCAGCTTCAACCATCAGCCACAAGAGGCTGATACCTCCCTGCCGATCACACAAAGGTTGTTCTCCTTCACACCCTAAGATTCGCTGTTGGCGGATGTACACTCACCCAGATTGCCGGCTTACATTAGATTTGCTTGTATAAGGTGTTTGGAGCAGGGGCTCGTCCGTGAACACACCAAAAGTGAAAAAGGGGGGTCAAACTGTTTGACCCAAAAGGTGAGGTGTAAACCATTCGAAACGCAACTAGCTCCTAGTATAGGCAAAATCACAGGAAGAGAAACCCACCAATGGATCCACCATGGGGCCCCTGAACCACGGGTCAGCAATGGATCCGCATGACACCCGCCTGCTTATTTGCGAAGACCAACAGCACTGCGTCGCGCATCTCGTCCTGCTTGGCTGGCTTACTGGACATGGGAATATGAGGGCTCGTTCCCTGGTTTTGTGGTCCACACTTAGAGGACCCCCATTTCCCCCGCAATTGAACCATAGGCAAACTAGACAAATCTAGATACTTTGACCTATGTTAAGACTGTACGCCATCAAGATGTTAACACTTTCAGCCACTGATTTCAAGCCTTAAGTTTTTCAGATTTTAAGCCATTAAGAGTTTAAGGCTTTCATTTGACCCTCTGCGCCCCTTTTGTCCAAAATGTCATCCAGATAATGCCAGTGATGCTGGTGCTGGCGATGTTGTGGAGGAGCTGCTTCCAAAAACGAAGCTTGAACGAGTGGGAACCTGTTGCCCTTGCAGACCACCCAAAGGCAACGCAGTGTCACACATTGCCCGAAAAGGCACAAGCCAGATGACTGTCAATCGCAGTTTCTTGAGCGGTGGCTTTTGGAATCGCTTTCGCGTAAGACTTCCCTCTCCCAGAGCCAGATGGCGCGTGCGGCAAGTGGAGCGACTGGCAAGTCAAGTCATGGTTGGCCCCCGCATCCTGACGCTGAAGCGGAAGCCTTCACTTGAGGTTGTCCGCTCAAACAGATCCATGGTCAAGCGGGCCGTAAAGGATCCTGCAAATCTCCCTGACGTTGCTGAGTGAGATCATTGGCGGACGGGGTCCAGTCCCAGTTCGTGAAAAGCTCTGACAGCAATGGAGCCAATGACCTCGAATGCGTCTTCCTCAAGATTTGGATACGCATTCAGAGGGTATGCGTAGAGGTGCGCTGGCTGGACGAGGCCCAACTCAAACGGCTTCTCTTTGTCGGGCAAATCACTGTGGAGAGAAGATCGTTGGGTGGGCGAAGCTGGAGCGGATACCTGAGTCAAGTGCCCTGCACGGTCACTTCCTGATCAAGCAGGCTTGTTCACCAGATGTACTCCAAGACTTGCAAGCATGGCACTGGATTTGATGTGGACGGTCTCATGTTCATGACGAACAACCTTGCGGTGACCATCCTCCGATGGCTGCATTTTGCTCCTTTGCAAAAGATAGCAGAACGAACATTCAAGGAAGCCATTGATGGAACTCAACATGGCGCCTTGTGGTCGCGAAGCCATCCTTTCGTTGTGTCCGCGGAGCAGAAAAACCAGCATGTGAGGACCAATCCACGTCAAACGCAGTCAAGCAACTCTCATCGCCAGTGCACAGAAAAGCCTGCAAGTCCGCATACATGGCTTTCCCCGAGATGACGCGCATGCTCGCTGAGAGTTTCTCAAGGCGGTCAGGAAAAACCATCTCAAGCGCGATTTTGGTCAAAACTGGATCTACGCAAAGCTTCGCGGGTCCGGGCTCCCCCCGAAACGAACTTCGGCGCAGTTCCGACTCAGTGAATCCGAGAACAATGTCAACCATCAACGGGTTCAAAAGCAAAGCGCAGAGATCACAAGCGACCAGCGAGCAGAGTAGCTGCTTTAAAAAAATATGCAAAGTGGTGACAGCAGCGCCGTGTCCGTGGATGTCAGTTGTGTCAACCTCCAAGGCGAGAGGTTAGGGCAAGCCTGAGCCTCAGATCATGCCCAGAATCCATGAAGGGTGTCGTCTGGCGCAGCCCAGCGAGCTCAGCAATCTCGCTCTGAACCACCTCAAGGCGAGTCTGACCAGTAACCCCTTGGGGCAAACAAAATGCAACGCTGCGCAACAGATATGAGCCCAGGCACGTCGTTGGGAAACGCACCGATGTCCACAGGCTTGACTCGCGCACGCCTCCAGGCGGACTTGCATCGCCACTTCCTGCCATGCTTCACTTTGATCGAAGACGTATGTATGCGATCGCCTCTTTCTTCGACATGCCGGAGAAGACCGGCGCAAGATGCTCAGAAACTGATTCCGCGCATTTGCAGCAATGAGCTCTTTCGAATGGATGCGTGCAAAGATCTTCTCCAAGATAATGGTGGCCGCTTCGAGAGCAGACAGTCGCCATGTGGCAAACCAATCGTGAGAGACAGCGAGGGGCCCAGGGAAAATGTCCGGAATTGCATCATGACTCAAGCCGCCAGCGACATACAGTTCAGTGCAAATTTTGGTCACAGGAATGAAGAGCACTGCAAAAAGAAACGCCGCGTAAACGGACATTGCTACTTGTAGCACCTCCCACCGCGTCTAGAATTGTACCTCGCCGTAGTTGCTGTAAACTCCTAAAATGGCTAGTCAGCAACAGAATTCCCCAGCATGTTTGAACGTGGCCTGCAATCCATCGACATTTTGGTAAAATCATTTTAAAAGGGCAGTCCTTAGTAATTAGTTCCTGTTGTGTGAGATTGTGTTCCGACGAAGATCAAACAAAAAATCTAAAGGGGCAAAGTCCACTTCGCACCAGTTGATAGGTCATGCATCCCAGAAGTAAAGGGGGTTTCATCGAAGTCGATTCTGCCCATCCACAGTAGTGGTTTCAAGACCCGATCGGGGATGAAGATGCTTTTGAGGTGGCTCCTTATTCAGATGTCATTAGCCATGTGGGTGTGTCTTTGTTAGACCCCCACAACATGGTGCAACGGTGTTCCTGTTGGTTTCCCTGTAAACCCACAAAAAAAAGGGTACCAACTCCGAAAGAAGACGAGCCTGTACTCACAAAACCCCGCGAAAAAAATCCTGCGACCTGCCCAAAGCTGGCCTCGTTGAGCATCTTGTTCAGCTCCTCAGGCTTTTGCGGGGGTGCTCCCAGGCGACCGGATCGATTTTCACAAAAGCTTGGTCCGAAAAGGAGCCAATACCCATTTTCTACCCTTGTGGCTTGGTAAAACCCTGTTTTGGTCTCCAGCTCACTGGCAGCTGCTGAATGGTCCACCCTTGTGGTTTGGTCATTTCAAGGCTCAGAGCGAGCGCCTGCTTTTGAGTCGGTCAGCCCAATGATCCAAGCCAGCAGCTCTTGAGGAGGCCCCTCTTGAGAGGTAGGTAGCCATGCCCCCTCCATCACGTTATGTCGGGATACTCTCTAAGTGTTCCAAGCGTTTGAACGGCGGGCGCCCTGCCATAGCCATGTGATACCACACTCCATCACATTACCTCAAGGGATTCCCTAAGACATAAGCCATGTGATGGGAGCACGATGCGATACCTCTGGTGCTGGAGGATCTACTCAAACCGTGCGACGAATCAAAAGGGCGTCTTGCCACGCCAAATGATTGGCACTGTCCCCCAACCTTCATCTACCCGCAGCGGCTTCTAAACGCGGCATTCTTGACTCAACCCCGCTTTGGTCTGGTTTCGCTTGGGCTTCCTGCTGAAGGTCCAAAAGGGTACCCTTCCGCCAACAAACATTGTTTGGCGCCGTGCACAGGCACCTGTTGGAGAACTACCTTCTGTTTGGAATGAGTTTCTGCGCACGGAGCCACGGCTGTTGGTGGGGTACCGAGCACCAACTCTAGAAAAAGGGCACCACACCCCAAGTGGTTGTGTGATTTGTTGAGACTCGCCACAGCAAAAGCGAAGCGTTGAAGGAAACCAAAACTTTGGGGGAGTTCATCCCCAGGTATAACACATCCCGTATATCGATCATGCCCCACTCGCCTCCCGAGCGTCTTCGATGCGGTCGCGGTCGTTGCTGTCCACCACGTAGATGAGGCCATTGGTGCCTCTTTGGAATTCCGCGACCCAAACCCCATTGACTGTTGGTTCTACTTGCTGGCGATAAAGGCGGTTCTATGTACTCGGTGACTGGTTGACCTCATTTGAAGATGGTTGTATAAAGGTCTTACTTAGATGGTTCTGAGGGTTTGGACAAGCATTGCTACAACCACAATGAAACCAGGTGGTAGAACCGCCTAATCAATTGGCTGGCCGTACAGTGACCTGCAGCTGGTGGATCCACTGAGTCAATGGGGGTTGTGGGCGCTGCACATTTAACATCCGATCAGCACTTTCGGGTGAAATTTGGCCGGAGCCTGAAGGAAACTGGTCGCCAATTGCCTGGGGCTGATAATCCTTTGAATGCCACGGAGCCACCCTGTCCTTGGTGCCTTGCATTTGAGTAGTGCTGATTCATTGGGGAAGGGGGGGGACTTTTTAGCCCTGCAGCCAAAAATGCGCAACTCTTGTCGCTTTCGGAGCAGCGATCCGTGTGGCTCGGACACCCACCAGAATTTCTCAAAGCTTCGCGCCGCGGTCCGCCCCTTTGCCACGGCCTTGGTAGTAGTGGCGCCACAGAGGGCGGATCTTGTCCTGGCCTCCGACGTCCCAAACCTGGCTTCGCGCTCTTCTTGCCATTGTTTGCGAGGATGTCCAAGTTCTTGGACGGACCGTCGCCCCACTTAGTACGTAGGCCACAACTATGCTTATAACAGTGGTAAATGGCCCCCCCCCCCCAGCGCAACACAATTTGAGAAACTTACTTCATAGAAACCAACTGGAAACCGCTCAAGTCGGAGGGCTTCCCCATCCCCAAACAGGTCAGCGTCCGACTTCGCGCGAGATGAAATCCATTTGTGGAGCCCCCCCCCCCGGAGCGCCCCTTGATTGCATTTCCCCCTCAAACAACACCTGCTCCAACAGTAAAAAACCTCATTCAAGACTTGCAATGCAACGATGCTGTGAAAAAAGTCACTAAAACCAGAGTTAAGGGGCCACTCGAGCGGGGACTTGGGACACCTGACTCCTCTACCCCAAAAGAAGACAACTAAAGGCCGGGAGGGCAGTGAAGCTCAGGTTCTTGTACCTGGCAACCGAGGTTCTCCGCGCCAGAAGAAGACGCGTGTGCGGGCGCGTTGTGCGCGTCGCCCTTCACGCAAACACGGGGGGGCTTGTCCAACCCAAAAAGGGGTGGCAAGGTGACCCGACAAATGAAAGGGGCCGAGGACCGTTGCAGGTACTCCCTTCTGGCATGCTACTGACTCTTCTTGGGAATCCACCAGTGATTGCACTGGTTTGCCCTGAAAGGGGACCTATCTGGTTGTTTCAACACTTTTTGCCGCGAAAAAAAGAACCGTTCAGTCGCCGGGAGCACTCGACGGTCTCCACCTCGGGTGTCAGAGGAGCCACTTCCCTTTAGAGGTCTCACTCCAGCTTTCCAATGAGAGGTGGTACCCCAAAAAGCTTTGGAGGAACCTCCTTTTGGAACCGCCCGTGTTTCCTCAACCTGAAAGGTATTGCAAGCAAGAACAAGCAATATCTTTGAAGCTGTCATGATTTGCGGCTGGTTTACTTGCCCATGGGAATGAAGCGGTTACTCTTTAGCTGAAACACATTTCATGTGGCATCGATGATGATGCTTTCATCTTACATGGGTGTTTGGTTTGTTTACTTGCAACGCAAATCAAACACTCCTTTACCCACAGGAAGTAGAAGAAACATCCTTTTGACCGCCATGGTTTGTGGCTAGTTCGCGTGCATTTGGCATAGGCGGTGCTACCTAAACCAAACCAGCCTGAACCCCCCATTAGACCAGGTAGGAACCAAACACCAGTGGAAACTCATGCGAAACAATGGGAAACCCATAGGAGACAAAGGGAAATCAAGGGAAGACCGTGGAAAACCAAGGGAAACCGCACAAAAGGACTTTCGTGCTCCAGTGGGCCAGGCTCCCCGCATTGAAGCCGATGGTCGGGATGGTAGTGACCACCTGGTTGACACCCAAATGCGCACGAAGTAGCAATTAACACTGGGAGGAAAGGGAAGGTCGGTTGCTTTGCCTTTGTTCGGGGTTGCGTTGCCGCCCCCCAGTCCTCTTCGCAAGGCTCTTTCCGGACCGTTTTGGGAAAAGCCTGACTTACCTCCAAGAGGAAAGCTGCAATTCGTTGGGCCCAGGCGCTTTTTACCACGAGGTACAATGAGGCACAACGAGGTACTTGTTCTACAATGAGAAGGTGCTTGCTGTATATCTAGGCACAATGATGTAAGGGCCACCCTGGAAAAGGCGCCGGTCGAGTTACAGCAACTTCAATCAAAGCTGGAGACGTGACCCCAGCAAGCGGCCCTACAAAGTGTCCCATTTCCCTTTAAACATCTCCACACCAACAGGAAACGGCCCAGAAAGGTGATGTCTACTCAAAGAAACGGGAAATGTAGAGGGAGCCCTGCGCACATTCGGTGGGAATGTGAGGGCCTTTGGATTTCTCCCGGAAGAAGCGTAAGGTGCAACCTCAAAGCGAGGGATGTCTTCGGTTGTTGTGGGAAATGTGAGGATCTGCGGCTCATCCCTGGAGTTGCTTGGCCTTGTCCTGGCCCATCTTTCAAAAATGCCCTTTCTGTGGCCAGAGGCTCACGGGCTGGCGTCTTTTTTGAGACGAATTGCGAAGTCACACGAAAAGCGGCGGCAGGTTGGCTCTGCTACTTGCTTCCCCTACCACAAACAAGTAAGGAGCCTGACTAGCGGCCCATATGAATTCTCAAGGACCTTCTGACAGGCTCCTTCCGTTTGTTTGCGCAGGGCACCCAGAGACTCCTTGATGTTGGCTTGAAGGAGACGTGGCCCTCTATCCAACGCTTGCTCCCTCACCTCGCCCAGCTTCAGCTTGTAGAGGATCGTGGTCTTACCAGCTGCCTCGGCATGAGCAGCGCCCAAAACCCGGTCATTGCGGTTTAGTTCGGCCAAAATGCTTTATACAACCTTGATGAAATCAGGCAGTACAAGCCACTCAATAAAATAGAAAATGGGGGGGGGGGGGGGGTTTGGGCGTTGCTCAAGTGAGGCATACCACAGAAGTCGGCCGGGTCTTGGGACTGCAGCTTGGGGCAAAGCTTTGAAACAACATCCCTTCATGGACTGATTGTCCGGAGGAAAAGGGCCATCACACCCATTGTGAGCATTGCCTGCATCACTTGCATCACCTGCATCATGTACAATATCTGCACATCCGCATCATCTGCATCACACGCATCAGCCAAATCATGAGCGTTACTGCACAAGCCACACCACCCACACCATCCACACCATCTACACCATCTGCACCATCTACACCATCTGCACCATCTACACCATCGACACCGTCTACGCATCACCTGCATCAAGTGCATCATCTGAATTGATGGCTGGCTCAGCAGGAGAATGGCGTGCATTGTCAGAATGACAGATATAAATTGCAGCGCACGCATGGGGAGTTCCGAATAGAATATACCAAGAGCTTCGAATAACCCAAAACGGATGCTCCAATGGCTATCATCTTTCTCGTCCTGCCGCCAGTTGGTCCTTTGCTGTTTGCAACAGCACCGGCCCTTCAACCCTGCAACTCGATGCAAGCGCCAGAAATGGAGTGTGGCAAGGTGATGCAGCTGATGTGGCTGATACACAAGCATTTCAATTGATGCGATTGATGCGTACAGCACTGGAAGATCAACGTTGTTTCCAAGAGCATGGCTGCGTATTGCCTGCATCATTGCATTGTCTGCATAGGCTTCATCACCTGCATTGCCTGCATCAGCTGCATTGCCTGCATCATCTGCATTGCATCCCGCTACAGGACCATCACGTTGCAACGTGTGTCAGCATCACCTGCATTGCAGCTGCATCACGCCTCCATCATCGGATTCATCCCCAGAATGATGCTAATCAGACAAATGCCCTCAAAGTGACAGTTGCTCGTGTTTAGAACCACCCTTTCAGGGGAGCTCCTGTCTTGCATATGCGTATAGCGCTGGAAGCGCACACTGAGCAGGCTACATCCAGTCCAACCATGAGGATGCGCATCTCCTGCTTGCCAATCCTGAGCAGAGTTGTGTGATCCTTTTGAGAGTAATCACCCATTTTGGTATGGGGAAGTAAGATAGCAAAAGGAAGACACCCACCCATTCCGGCCCCCCCTATTTTGACACATGAAATTGGACCGTGGCTTTGTGCGAGCCAAATTTCGGCCAACCAATCTGCGGAATCGATGATGCACCTGTGTGAATATGTTTTTTGTTGATCATTTGCAGGCCGGACCATTCAGAAGTTTTCTGCAGGGAAAAAACGACATGCGGGTGGACCAAATCATCCAGACCGCAAGTGGACCACGGGAGGGTGTTTTCCTGCCGATGGTTTTGATTCCTTCGACTTGACCTTTGGAAAAGCATCGAAAACCGCCGCTCAATGCTTGGCTATAGAAAACGGTTGCGACGCCGAGACTCTTGAGACAGCACCTTTGGGGAATCTTGAAAGGGGTGTAATGATTCTATGAACACATCCTGCAAAACAAGCCCAAGTGGATTTGGGTTAAAGACTCCCAGAAATGATCGCACATTCACCACGTGGAAATCAAAGTCCTCATGAACTGTTGTCCAATACACCTCCACACCAAAACCTTCGCCCTCCCCTCCCCAGAACGCAAAAACGAAAAAACATCACATGGCTGTGGGTCAAACCCCTGTACCCCTGGTGAACATCAAAATAGGTGGCAAATGGATGTTCATCTACCCCAAAATGGAGCCATGGGCTATGCCCCATGGCCACACTTGCCCCTTCGCTCCTTCACTCCTTCGCTCCTTTGCTCCTTTGCTCGTCCCACCCCATCCCCTTGGGGCGGACATGTGTCTTCTTTTTCACCACCAGACTCAAACCCGGACCATGTCCACCCAGAAGTATCCCTTGGGTTTCTGCCCACCCCAAAGGGGCCATAAGACATCCTCAAGCTGACTGGTCGTAACTTTCCCGGTGATTTCGGGAGATGCAAAAAGGCCCTCAGATGCGCTTTTCGAGTCCCCCATTTTTCAGCGACCCGACCGTTCACCAGACCCCTCCGCTGAATTGCCGCTTAGGGGCATGCGCTGCCATATCTTCGTGAACGCGAGACCCATGGCGCTCCAGTCGCAGGCGATGCGAAGCAACTGAGCCACGCTCGATGAATCTGAGCCCGCGGCGAGGCGATTGTTCAGAGATTCACAAGTGGCAAAACTCCAAGAGAGGGAATTTGGGTTTTGGGAAGCCATTTTGGGATCGCAAGCCACCAGAGATGGTTTATAGGGACTCATTCCCTTGGAAAAACAGCAAGCTTACTATGATTCACAAGCCGGAAACAAGGGATCTTCGAGTAAGGATCCTGGGCGTACCCCCAAGCGAATTCATACAGGTTGCCCCAAGTGACTGATCAAAGATGAACTGATGAAATCAAGAACATTAAGAAACCCATGCTCTCAGTGTTTTTCTTTTGGGGGGGGAATGTCCACAAGTGCGGCTTCCCCAAAAAAAAAGAAGGCACATGTCCCTGGACAGATGCTTGTGCATGGTCCCTTCTGGCATCTGGTTTGCAAGCCCAGATGCCCAGGGGTTACCAGCATGACAGTGACTCTTGGTGACT